TCGCACCCACACAACGGGCTGCGAGGTCTCAAATGATCCGTTCAACTCCCCGACTCCGCCGTGCCTCCCAAGAGCCCACGAGAGTGGCAACAACTGCACAATTCGCAACCACCCACAGAACTGCGAGGTCTCAAATGATCCGTTCACCCGGCTCCGCCGTGCCTCCCAGTAGCCCACGACAGTGACGACGGTTGCACAATTCGCACCCACACAAAAGGCTGCGAGGTCTCAAATAATCCGTTTACTCCCAGACTCCGCCATACCTCCCAGAAGCCCACGAAAGTGTCGACAGCTGTAAAGTTCGCAGCCACCCAAGGAGCAGCGAGCTCTCAAATGGTTGTTTGACTCACCGAAACCGCCGTGCCCCCCAGGAGCCCACGAACGTGGTAACAGTTTACAGTTCGCAGCTACCCAGAGAGCAGCGAGATATCAAATGGGCCGTTTCCGCCGTGCCTCCCAGGAGCCCACGAAAGTGGCGACAATGGCAAAGTTCGCAACCACACAATAGAGGGCCACATGCGAACCCGAACATGGGGGGTAGGGGTAGGGCTGCATGTGGCCACCTACACAAGGAACAGCGAGGTCTCAAATGATCTGTTTACTCCCCGACACCGCCATACCTCCCAGGAGCCCGCGAATGTGGCAACAGTTGCACTGTTCGCAGCCACCCAGGGAGCAGCGAGGTCTCAAATGCTGTTTACTCCCCGACTCCGCCGCGCTTCCCAGGAGCCCATCAAGTGGCGATAACCTCGCAGTTCGCAGACACCCAGGGAGCAATGAGGTCTCAAATGGTCCGTTTACTCCCCGACTCCGCCGTGCTTCCCAGGAGCCCACCAAAGTGGCGGCAGCTGCACAGTTCGCGGCCACCCAGGAGCAACGGGGTCTCAAATGATCCGTTTACTTCTCGACTCCGCCGTGCCTCCCAGGAACCCTCCACAATGACGACGGTTGCACAGTTCGCAGCCACACAAAAGGCTGCGAGGTCTCAAATGATCCGTTTACTCCCCGACTCCGCCGTACCTCCCAAAAGCCCACGGGAGTGGCAACAACTGCACAATTCGCAACCATCCAAAGAATTGCGAGGTCTCAAATGATCCGTTTACCCGGCTCCGCCGTGCCTCCCAGGAGCCCACGACAATGACGACGGTTGCACAGTTCGCAGCCACACAAAGGGCTGCGAGGTCTCAAATGATCCGATTACTCCCAGACTCCGCCATACCTCCCAGAAGCCCACGAAAGTGTCGACAGCTGCGCAGTTCGCAGCCGCCCAGGGAGCAGCAAGATCTCAAACGGATTTTACTCACCGAAACCGCCGTCCCTCCCAGAAGCCCATGAAAGTGTCGACAGCTGCACAATTCGCAACCACATAAGGAACAACGAGGTCTCAAATGATCCGCTTACTCCCCGACACCGCCGTCCCTCCCAGGAGCCCACGAACCTGAGGACAGCTCCACAATTCGCAGCCACCCAAGGAACAGCGAGGTCTCAAATGATCCGTTTACTCCTGGACACCGTTGTGCACGCAAGTGTCGACAGCTGCGCAATTCGCAGCCACCCAAGGAGCAGCGAGGTTTCAAATGATCCGTTTACTCTCCGACACCGACGTGCCTCGCAGGAGCCCGCGCACGTGGCGACACTTGCGCTGATCGCAGCCACACACCCAGGGAACAGCGCAGGGGGAGGCAGGAGGGGGGGGGGGAGGAGGGGGGGGAGGAGGAGATGTGCGACCGCAGTGCTCTATTCAAAACGGGAACCCAACACAAGAACAACTGAAGACCAACATACGGCATGCTGTGTCGAGACGACGTTGGCGTTCGTTCCTGATACCGCGTGGATCGTTCTACCTTGAACGATCTCGGAATTCCGATAGCGCGGATCGCTCGATGCTGGCCGAAGAAATTTAGGCCACTGGCGGCGTTCAACCTTGAACGCCCGCGCTGGGGTCGCCGCCGTGTCGACACGGTGCGAACACACCGCAGTGGGAGGCGAAGACTTTTTTGGAACGTGGTCTGATCACGCCATCGACGGGGTCCGGCGCGCTCAGGACTGCTTGGCAAGAAAAGAGAAGGGTCCTTTCGGAAACGGGCCATGCACCCCATGGGCATTCCTCGGGGCCATCTACTGACGACCCTAGGGGGCACGGGAGTTGGAGGCGGGGATCCATCCGTTTCCACCGCCTGGAAACCGACGCCCTGGGACCCCTATGGGCGGTAGATGCGGATATATACGTCCGAAAACTAGCCCAGAAACTCCAGAAGCCCTCTCCAGTCATGCCCGCACGGCCCTCCTTGTCCGAGGGTCTCGCCGCAGAGTCCTGGCGAGGTGTCCCGCGTTTGGGTCTCCTCACTCCGCGCTGAGCTACTGCTGCAGCATCGACGTCACGTCGGTTTCCTCGAGCTCCCCCAGCCTGGTGACAGCGGTCGTGCGCGTCAGGGAGCTCTGCATCAGCGCGGCCTCGTCCTCCTCCTGCCGTGGATGGTGCAAGAAACATAGGTATTGCTGGTTGTTCATTGATTTTTTTGTTCGACAGCCGCCGAGTCATCATCCGACGCCGATTGGCGGCCTGCTCGACAACGTCGTGTGCTCTTATCTCGGGGGCGGCCAAGAGGGGGGTCCAAGAGGGTGGGGCGCAAACCATGGGTCACGGCACACTTCTCCTCCTCCTCCTCCTCCTCCTCCTCCTCCTCCTCCTCCTCCTCCTCCTCCTCCTCCCCCTCCACCTCCTCCTCTTCCTCCTCCTCCTCCTCCTCCTCCTCCTCCTCCTCCTCCCTCCTCCTCCTCCTCCTCCTCCTCCTCCCCCTCCTCTCCTCCTCCTCCTCCTCCTCCTCCTCCTCCCCCTCCTCCTCCTCCTCTTCCTCCTCCTCCTCCTCCTCTCCTCCTCCTCCTCCTCCTCCTCCCCTCCCCCTCCGCCTCCTCCTCCTCCTCCTCCTCCCCCTCCCCCCTCCCTCCTCCTCCTCCTCCTCCTCTCCTCCTCCTCCTCCTCCTCCTCCTCCTCCTCCTCCTCCTCCTCCTCCTCCTCCTCCCCTCCTCCTCCTCCTCCTCCTCCTCCTCCTCCTCCACCTCCTCCTCCTCCCCCTCCTCCTCCTCCTCTCCTCCTCTCCTCCTCCTCCTCCTCCTCCTCTCCTCCTCCTCCTCCTCCTCCTCCTCCTCCTCCTCCTCTTGGCTGCCCCCGATTATCAGGGATCAGGCCGCAAGCAGCCGGCCCCGGCCAGCGAGCAGCCTCGCCGGGCTGCACGTGTACGTCGAAGGCCAGCGCCCGCGCGGGCGGCCGCCCGGCCCCCGCCCCGGCCAGCACCTCCGCCTGCAGCCACGCGGGCGCCACCGCCACGCCGCCGGGCCGTAGGTGGAGAGGCGCCTCCGGCGCGCCCGCGCGGAGGTGCTCGAGGTTGCGCCCAAGCGGCCTCGGGTCGCGGAAGCGGAGCCGCACGCCCTCGCTCTCGTCCTCGCCCGGCCCCCGCCCCAGCAGCACGAGGCCCCAGAGCGCCGCGCCCGCGGCCAGCTGGGCGTCGAGCGGCAGCGCCTCGCCGGCCACGAGCGCCGAGGCCCCGCCGCGGGGCCGGACGGCGAGCGGCGGGCCGGAGGCGCCGCCGGCCGCAGCGCCGAGGGCGCGCGCGGCCTCGCGCAGCACCCCGCAGCAGGCGGCCGCGAGCAGCGCCGCGGCGCCGCCGGGCGCGGGCGCAGGCCGCGAGCACGAGGCGCTGCTGCACCCGAGCGGGCGCCAACTCGGCCCCGGCGTGCCTGCGGCCGCGTGCTCGGCGCCGCCGCCCGCAGCGGCCGCCTCCACGTGCCCGCGCGAGACCACCGAGGGCCACAGGTCGTGCCGACTGCGGTCGACGCGGCGGCCAGAGGTGGCCGAGCGCCCCTCGGCCCAGGCACGGGGGTAGGCCTCCACCGCGGCCCTGCTGGCGCCCGCGAGCCAGTATGCGGCGATGTTGAAAGAGATCGTGATGCGCGGGCGCTTGCCCTGGTGCGGTGGCACCGAGTGTTCGAGCCAGGAGGGGAAGACCATCAGCAAGCCTGGAGCGAGCTCCACACCATCCAGGGGTGCCGGCTCGAACGACCTCCACACCGAAGCTGCGGCGCCGTGCATGGCGCTCTGTCTGGGGTCCCAGAACTGCACGAGGCCACGCGGGCCACCGCCGCCAGTGTCGACCACATACACGCCGCTGAGCCGCCAATCCAGGTCGGAGTGGTGATGCACCGCGTTGGAGTGGTTCCTGCGGTTCACGTTGGCCCAGCCAGTGATTCTGAGGTCCAGGTCGGCGACCACCGCCCGCGGCAGCTCCGCAAGCAGGGCGGCGTACGCCGCGTCGGCGAGCTCGCCCCGGAGGTCGCTCAGGGCGTCGTGCTGCGTGGTCATGATCCAGTCCGCCGGCGACTGCCAGCCCCCGACGTTGCTGAGCCTCACCCCCGGAGTGCCCCTCTCCGCCGCCAGGACGGCGCTCCTCAGCCCCGCGTTCAGCCCCTTGGCGCCCCGGACGCGCTGCGCGTGCACCGCCGTGGCGAACAGCGGCCGCGGCGGTGGGGCGTCCGGCCCGGCCGCGCCGCCCAGGTCAGGGAAGCCGGCGGCGCGCGGCCCGTCGCCCGCAGGGCTCACGCTGGCCTCGCCGCCCTCGGAGGCCACGTCGAAGAGCAGGAGCCGCGCGTCGCCGCCGCCCTCCCACGGCAGCACCACCAGCCTCGCAGAGGCCGGGGCCAGCAGCACCGTGCCCGCCGGCAGCCTCGGGCTCAGCGCCCGGGGGCCGGGCGCGAAGGGCCAGAGCAGAGCGCGCCCGAAGCCCTCGCAGTGCACGCCGACGTCGTACGCCCCCGGAGAGACCTCCAGCCTCACCGGCAGCTGCGCGGCGGGGTCGTAGGCCGTGGGGGCGTCCACCACGTAGGCGCCTCGCAGCAGCGCGCCGTGGCGGGGCGGGAGCTCGAGCTGCGCGCGCAGGTCCCCCGACAGCCGGCACAGCGCGCTGGCGCGGACCGCGAGCTCGGACGCCCGCGTGGGGCGGCCTGCGCGGTCCGAGAGGAACCCGGCGGCGGCGTCGAGCAGCGCGCTCCGCAGCCCGAGGGCGGCGGCGTGGTCCAGCGCAGAGGAGAGGCCCTCCGGACAGGGCGGGGCTCCAGGGAGGTCCTCGCCCGCCAGCGGCAGCAGAGGCGGTCGCCAGGAGACTGGCGCGCGCGCGAGAAAGTTGATGGCCGGGTCCTCGTGGGCGTAGTGGCTGCGGACCGCCCTCAGCGGCGTCGGGAAGAGCAGTGTGACGTTGCCCGCGGGGGCTCCGCGCAGTACCTTCCGCGCGAATGCGAGCCCGCGCGGCACCGACGCGAAGCTCAGGCTGTCCTCCTGCACGCCAGCATCCTCAGCCAGTGGCGACCTGAACCACACGTCGAAGGCCGCCCACGCCGCCTGTCCCGACCCCGGCGCCGAGGTGCACGCGGCATCCTGGCATGGAGGGGGGCTGGCTGCACACTCGACAACCTCCAGTGCCCTGTGGAAGAGCAGCAGCTCGCCCTCCCGCACGATCGCCTCAGAGACTCCGCCGCGGGCCCCATGCCGCCACGTCGCCATCGCGTCCTGGCGCTGGCTCCGCAGGCAGAGTCTGGACTCGGTGCCCCGCACCAAGTACAGCGCTGTGAGGTGGGGCCCCAGCGCCCGCGGCGCACGCCTGTCGGCCGCCGCCGCCGGTGCGCTCCAGGCGACCCGCGCGCCGACGACGGCTGCCTGAATCTCGTCCAGGGCACCGAGCATCTGGTCGGCGTCGCCCTGGCGCCCCACGACGCGACTGTCGACCCGCAAGCGCGCGAAGTCTGCGACCGACGCGGTCACCCACGCGCGCACCTCCTCGCTCACAGCGGCGGCGCCTGTGCCCTGCTGCAGCTGGCGGAAAAGTGTACCCCGTGAGCGCTTGAGTTCGGGGTGCGCGTACAGACGCGAGTAGACCGGGAAGCCGAACGCCTCGTCGAAGTCATACACGTCGGTGCGCCGCTCGCGGACGAGCCGCTCCAGGCCACCCTCGCCAACACTGCCGGACGAAGACTGCGCACCCAGGAGCCCGGTCGCGTAGAGGTCCTCCGCGACCGCGAAGCTGCTGCGCGCATCCCGGCCCAAGAGGGCCTCCGACCGGCCGCGCAGCAGCCACCAGTAGCCACTCTGCCGACAGGGCCCCGCTCTCGTGCCCTCCAGCTCGGCAGCAGCACGCGCCCCGTCGCCCTCGTCGAGCACCGCCGCCACCGACGTCAGCAGCTCCTGGCAGGCGAGGCCCTCCGCGCGGTCGCCAGCCAGGAGCACGGCGAGCAGCGCCGGGGCTCGCATGGCGCCCCATCGGCAGGCCAGACTCACGTGCTAAGCACCATGGCTGGCATGGAGGCCCAGCAGCCCAGCAGCGGGCCATAACTCGACTCCAACGGACAGAGCGGCACAGATCGGCAGAAGCACAGACGCTCGGAGATCCGCGCGGAGTTCTCCCGGGTCTGCGCTGGGCCCCCCTCCCTGGCGCGGGGAGCACTCCAGCGGCGGCGGAGGCGCTGTCGGCCATCACGGGGGGTCCAACGCAGGCCCCAGAACTCCGCGCGGACCTCCGAACGTTCACGTGTCTGTGGTTCTTGTTGCCTTGTCGAATGGCGCAAACCCAGAGATCCGATGTCGTATTTTTTCAAGACGGGGCCCCCGGAGGTCTCGACCCATTCCCCAGGACTGGTTTTCATCCTGAATCGTTTTTTGGCAGTCCCAGGGCCCGGCGAGGGCCGCTAGGGGCCGAACATTTCGAAAAACCTCCGTCTTGATCTTTTCAACACGTTGGATCTCTGGGAAGATGCGAGGCGGGGATTTCTCGTTTCCCACCGCCCGGGGCGCCGGCTTCCTGGAGCCCTCGCGGGGGCAGTGCACGGGGGTGCCGTTTGGCCCCAGGGGGGCCCGAGCTCAGCCACGTCCGCCGCCCGCCGAGGTGTCCCCGAAGATCGATCCCCCAGGCGGGTGGTTATGGAGACTCTGGGTTTCTCCATATGAAGGGGCCCTGGGACACACAAATACATACACACAAATAGAAGGACCCCCATATTTTCCCATACTTTGGGGGGTTTTGTCTTCCCCCCCACTTCCTATATTTTCCCATATGTTCTGGGAAATCGACGATTTATTGTGTCTGTGTGTGTTTTTTTCCTTCCTGATAACATTGAGGAAGGAAGGAAACGAACCTGCCCCCGGGTTACAAGTGCGTGGTCTGCAAACCTCCCAGGAGCCCCCAAAGCTTGGAGAGCCGCCAGGACGCCGCACATCACGCAGGGTCTGCCCTGTCGGCCCACGAAAGTCTCAGCGCACAGCGCCTCGTCAACCAGGGCGGTGGCGTTTTTTCACGCCCTCGATACTAAGCGGCGGGGGCCTACACCCGAGACGGGGTTCAGCCTCGCCTCGTCGTCGCGCCGCAGCGGGGGTCGGAGCGCCTTCGGCGCGCAGTGGCTGCCAGCGACGGGGGGTCGATGTGGGGCTGTCGGCGGGGGTGACGCCCCCCCGACGCTTCTTACGAAACTCGGAGTCAGAGCCCCCCGCCCCGGAGAAGGGCTCTGGCCTCCATAGGTCGGGCGTGTCCTCCTACAGGGGGACTTTGGACGAAGCACACAGCATAGTCCGAAAGTGCTCGAACATGCTCAGAGATATACAGCAAAATCGTCCCCAGACTATTTGTTTGACTACTTTTGAATACCACTGTAGAGGGACAGGCCCGACTCCAGTCTGGACCACCCCGCTTCGCGCCTTCTCGCACCCTGCGGTGCTCGGGGGCGCGCAAACATGGATTAGCGATCCACGGATTTGGCGCGCGGCCGCCGAATCTATGGATCGGAGGAAGCGCCCTCCCCAAAATGCGGCCGGTCCCGCCTCGCTCGGCGGCGGAAATCTGCGATTACCCATGGAAACGGGACCCATCGCTAATCCACGCCCCCCCAATCCATGTTTGCGATCGCCTGACTCTCGACGCCTCAAAAGTTTTCGGGTCATAGCTCGGACCCCTGGCGGACGTTTCGAACGGTCCGGGTCCCCTCGGGAGGCTCTCTGCGAGGCGCAGCTGCTGGAGAGCACCCCGAGGCTGGAAGCCCTCCAAGAGCCGACGAAAACTTAAGAAAAAACATCCGGGAACATGCCTGCGATTGCCCGTGGAAACGGGACCCGTCGCTAATCCACGCCCCCTTAATCTTGTGGATGCCACGACAATGGACACCCTAACAGTCCTATCCTTGAATTTTGAATGTGTTTAACATGTCGGATAAATGTTCTAAGCATGTTTTAAGCTTGTCGTCGTACATGTTAAACAATGTGTTAACACCTGTTTTAGACAACTGGAAATAATCTGGCAGCATGTTTCCTCTCCACTGATCGTCCTCCACAACCTCAAGATCCGTGATTGCGATCGCCTGACCCTCGCACCCTGCGATGCGCTGCTGCCCTCGCGCCAGCGCGCGGCCCCCGCGGAGAACAGCAGGGCGCCTTCCCTTCGCCTCGAGAGGCCGCGCCGCGCGAGAGGCGCGGGCACGGCGGGGGCCGATCCCCGCGAGAAACCCGCCACGCGAAGCCCAGCCCCGAGGGGCAACGATACAGTCAACCCCTACCCATCGGTCGGAAGAAGTAGGCAGAAACATGAAGTAGGAAGGCGTTGGAAATATATTGGGTTTCCGCCCGCCTCCTGAAGATGAGGGAAGAGGGAAAACCACTCGACTCTTGAAGTAGGAAGGCGCTGAAAGTAGATTGGCATCTGGGAATCCAAAAATACCTACTTTCAACGACCGATGGGTTTAATAGTGAGGGTGCGCGGTAAGGATGCAAGGGCCTCAAAAGGCGATGATGACGTTTTTCGGACGAGGTTGGCCAGCGACCGTCGCTAAGGATGGGCCGAAGGGGCAAGGATGCAAGGGCACCCTTCGGAAGGAAGGTTGCCCGTTCATACTGTGCGGGTTGACTGTAGGGGGAATAGCCATAGGGGGGGAAGCATCGACGTGGAATCGGCGATACATCGCCGGTAGATCGGCGACAGGCCTCCCGTTGTGAGTCCGCACCTTCCTGGGCAGGTTGGGGCTAGCGGGCCCCTATCGGCGATCAATGCGCGTCTGGGGGTCGCTGCGTCCCCCCCTATGCCTATCCCCCCCTACCGTTGCCCCTGAAGCCCTGAGACCCCAAGGGCGCCCGTGGCATGTACGTGCGGGAGCGCCACGCTTTCCATCGCGAAGCCATCGAAAGTCAAGAAACCCAGGACACCCTGGAGGAGGAGGAGGAGGAGGAGGAGGAGGAGGAGGAGGAGGAATATTACAGGATTACAGTCATAGTGACGCCAGCCAGTTTCCCGCCAGCGCCCTGCGCTCCAGGGCCCACGGCCTGGCCACTGAGGCCAGCATCCCAGGACCCAGAACAAAATTAGAAAGGCACCTTCGAGACAGGATGTTTGCCCTCCAGGACTCCAGGATGAGATCAAGGGCAGCCCTGGCCCCTTTGGCCATCTTCAAAGGCTGCCTGCAGACTCCTTTCAAAAGGGGCCCGATCCGTTGGCTCGAGTAGGAGCCACAATTCAGAACAAAACAAAAAGGGCCCCTTCGTTTGCATTCGATGCCCACGGGCCGTGAAACTAGCAAACGGATCGTCATCCCTGGCCCCTGAAGCGGCCCCACCAGACGACGACGCCCCAGGGCACGCGGGCGGCCCCGAACCTTCACACACAGCCGAAGCCGCCGCAAGCGCCACACGGACCGCCCCAGGAGGACCCATCGGGGACGCTTCCGAAAACCTACCCCCAGGAGAGAAGGCGAGGCGAGCCAAGGCCTTCTGCACATCCGATGGCACGCACCTCCTGCCACTGCCCTGGGTATACAGCCTGACAGACGCCTGGGTCCCAGCCTGGATTCCACACTTCCGACGCACACGACCGCTGGGACCCAGGGACCAAAACGCATGCTCCAAAAAACTTAACAGCTTCGCATTGTTTGGGGCCACCTGCTACATGCCTTGATGCGCAGGAGCCACACTCAACTGGCTGTTCACAGCGTCTCTAGCGCTTGCAAGCTGAGCCGTCGCCCAGGCGAAGAACTTACACTCCTTCTTCACACGCCTAAGCTCCTGAGCGAAAGCCTCCACATGCGTGTCCGAGACTGCGTGCGACCGAGCCCCGACTGTACCGAAGAAATCGGCCCACGAATTGCCGACCTGCCACTCGGGGGGCTTGTCGGGGTACGTCAAACAGAACTCTTCTAAATCAAGGCGAACTGGAACCCATTCGAACGCGGGAGGGCCTCGGGACCCAGTGCTCGCGAACATTTTCCGCCAGATCGACGCGTGGGCCCCTTGGGCCATGGACAAGCTGGGAAGACCAGCTTTGGCCCTCCCGCACGGCCCCCAATACATGAGAAACAAGAGCGCGCAGAAACGGAAAGCGTCGAATTCCCTGCAACATAGCCCAACGCTCGGCAGCACCAACTGTCTCCCTGCGGCCAGGCAGTGGACCGTACACGGCCCTGGTCGGTCGACCATCCTCCCCCACCTGGACCACCGCCCGTCCGCACCTCCGAAACGCAGGCCACGCGCTGTGAAGCCCTGACCCGTCCGCGCAGACCCAGCTTGGCCACGTCTGAGGATCAGAACTCCAATCACCCCAGACGAAGACAGGCAAGCTTCCCGAGACTGGCGGCAGAGGCTTGGGCCTACGGGACAACCCAGTGGAAAACTCCAGGAGGTCCAAGCATTCATGCCCAAAGCTATTCACAGCGCGCTCAGACAGCGCGTCCCTGGTCTCCTCGAACTCCTCATCACACTCGGGGAGACCTGCTGCAGTTGGCTGCCCCAGCAGGGTCGGGCATGGGTAGAAACCATGGGCCACTGGGCCTGTCAGGCCCATCGCCAAACACTGCGGGGGAGGGCACATCGGGGACGCGAGTAGGCGACGCTCAAACCTCTTCGATACCGACATGAATCCACCAGCCCAAAGCATCCGCAGTGCACCCGCCGGCCGTCGCACCGCACACTTGGATCCACCAGCGACCAGAGGAAAAACGCGCATCCATACTTCCTCGTCGCCCTCCAAGTGCTCGGGCAGGTGTGACAGGGGCCCTGGATCCCTGGGCCCCGGGCGTCGGCACCTCCTCTCCCTCAGAGTCCGCCATGTAAATCCATCTATGCTTATTTAGTACATCTGCTTATTTAGTAGTCGGCCTTAAATTTAGCGTCGACGCTAACATTCAGCGACGATCGTCGCTAAATCTGTAGCGACGAGTACATCTTAATGACGACGACGGCGCGATGAAGCCCCATGAGGAGGCGCATTTCTCCTGCAATGAGATCTTTTATTCACGCGCGGAGGAGGCCGCGCCTCCTGCGGCGAGCCATATGCTGCATGTGCGAGCGGTCTTGGCGTGTTCAGGGGGCGTCGCCCCCTCCAGGTCATCGCGTCGATCTCGCAGGGGCGGAAGTTGACTTCTTGTCGTGGAGGCGAAGAACGAGGAGGCCGC